ACAGAGCCAGTAATCTGTCCACAGAAGACAGCCATGTTGGGCAGGCATGACTTGCCCTTGGTGAATCCAGGCTGACTGTTCCCAATCACTCTTCTCCTCCAAGCAGTTAGAAATGGATTTCTTGAGGATCTGCTCCATGATTTTTCTGGGGACTGAGGTGAGACTGACTAGTCTGTAGTTCCCTGGATCCTCCTTCTTCCCTTTGTTAAAGATGGGCAGTATATTTGGTCTTTTCCAATCATCTGGGACCTCCCCCAATCACCAAAGATAATGAGTTTCAAACAAAAACCAGAGGCTCTGCAATCACATGAGTCAGCTCCCTCAGCACCCACAGATGCATTGCCTCCGGCTTCATGGATTTGTACACATACAGCTTTTCTAAACAGTCCCTAACCTGTTCTTTCACCACTGAGGGCTGCTCACCTTTTCCTTAAACTGTGCCTCCCAGTGCAGTAGTCTGGGAGATGACCTTGCCTGTGAAGACCGAGGTAAAAGGCATTTCGGCCTATTCCTCATGATCTGTCACTAGGTTGCCTCCCCCATTCAGTAAGGGACCCATACTTTCCCAGACCTTCCTCTTGTTTCTGACATATTTGTAGAAACCCTTCTTGTTACCCTTCACTTCCCTTCCTAGCTGCAACTCCAGTTGCACTTTGGCCTTCCTGACTTTATCCCTGCATGCCCAAGCAATATTCTTATACTCCTCATAAGCTGTTTGTCCAAGCTTCCACTTCTTACAAGCTTCCTTTTGTGTTTAAGCTCACCAAAGAGTTCTCTGCTAAGCCAAGCTGGTTGCTTGCCAGATTTACTATTCTTCCTTTGCATCGGGACAGTTTGCTCCTGAGCCCTTAGTAAAGTTTCTTTAAAATACAACCAGCAGTCCTAGACTCCTTTCCCCCTCAGCCTGGCCTCCCAGTGATGACTAGAAAATGGTATTTAGAGGTTTGCTTTTGGGAATTGGCTTATATATATGCATTAGACAGGGTGACAGCAAGGGTTATTTGATTTCTAAAGGCCTGGTCACATAGGTCTCACAGCCTTTAAGGCAGACAGGGTGTCTAACACAACAAAGCCAATGCATATACACATAGCCTGGGAAATTGTGGGCATATACCACACTGTTCCATAACATGATATAAGGTGGCACCAGCTTACAAGGCACAAGAGAGTGGGGGCCTGAGGTTCTGGTTCTGGGAGAACAGACCAAATTAGGAGAAGGCCCAGAAAGCCCAAAATAGGATGTGTGCATGTGATGGGTTGTGAAATCCATATGCTGACAGGACAGAACATGGACAGTATGGCAACCACAGAAAGACCAATCAGCAACAGCCACAGATGGAGAGTCATCAGGAGGGGAAAAGAATACAAAAGCAGAGATTTTAGAGCAACAAAGGGTCCCCCAAGGCCACATGGACAGAGGGGTCCCTGATAAGGGACCCCAAGGCACCGTGGACAGAGGGTATACTACCAGCCCATCTCATCCACCCCACTTGGGGGAATGGGGGAGGGCTCAGCCTCCGACCTCCAGGTTGCTGACATCTGACATTCAAGAGACAACCTCAGAGTGAAGCTCGTGTCCTGGCCCAATGCATCTTGATTCTGATGACAGCCCTATGATTGGTACCTATAGGATTGCTTGCATTATTCTTTTCTGTTATCACTGTGTATCAATACATTTGCCTATTATTGAACGGACAGGTCGTGTTCAGTCTGAGGGTTTGGGTCCCCATGGAACAAGGTATCTGGGTCCTAAATCCAGTGCTAGCCCCCAGGGGATCCTGCCCATCAGTTCCCTAAGGGAGTCAAAGTCTGCTTTTTTGAAGTCCATGGTCCATACTCTTCTGCTCTCCTTTCTTCCTTTTGTCAGAATCTTGAACTAGATTATCTTGTGGTCACTGCTGCCCAACTGCCATCCACTTCTACATCCGCCACTAATTCTTGACCTACTGCTCAAACTGTGAAGAAGAGCATAGCCCCTAGTTGGTCTCTCCAACTCATTCACAAGGAAGTTGTCTCCAACACTCTCCAAATACTTCCTGGATTGCCTGTACACAGCTATACTGCCGTCCCAGCAAACGTTAGGGTGACTGAAGTCCCCCATGAGAACCAAGGTCCGTCTGGAAACTTCCACTAGTTGTCTGAAGAAAGCCTTGTCCTCCTTGTCTGTTGATCTATAGTAGACGCCCACCACAAGATCAGCCTTGTTGCTCTCCCCTCTAACTTTAACCCAGAGACTTTCAACAGGCCTATCTCCAGTTTCATACTGAAGCTCTGAGAAATCATACAGATCTTTTACATACAGTGCAACTCCTCCTCCTCTTCTTCCCTGCCTGTCCTTCCTGAACAGTTTGTACCCCAACCATGCCAGTGCTCCAGTCATGCAAGCTATCCCACCAAGTCTCTGTTATTCCAATCACATCATGGTTCCTTGACTGAGAGAATGCCCACTTCTTCCTGCTCGAAGAGTGGGGGCAAACAACTTAGCAGCTTTTAAGCAGGAGTTTAGAAAAAAATTATGAAGAGGCTTATATGATGCAGTTGCCCAAGAGAGTAGAAAACTAAGTAACCAGGTAGGTCCCATCCACTGTCACCTTCCAGAGAGGTAAGAGGAAAAATAAAGTTTAAATATTTCAATCTAGCACTTGTAGAATTGCTTATAAATCCTTGTTATCCAAAGTTTATATGCAAGTGTTTGAGTATTCTAACAACAGACTGAATGTTCATTTCATTTCACCAACCCTTTTGTCCAGCCACAAAGTTTGGACTGATACATCTGGAGTTCTCTGTTGCTCATGCCCTGTCTGCACTTGCTTAGCGCTTGTAAATTTAGGTAGGTGAGATGCAATACTCTTCCATGCATCATTTTCACCAGTGCTGCTTTTATTTTGGAGATGTTTCATGTGGGCCATTAATAGAATCCTTTTGCTGTTTGAATTCTTCAGGAACTAAAAGATCACAAACTGAAGGGGAAGTCAGGAAAAAGGAAAGAAAAAACAAAGCAGCTATCCAAGACATTGGAAAAAATGTCTATTACTATAGATTGCTGGCATCTAAATTGAATTCAGTGTAGAAAGATGTTTGAGTCTAAATGCTATTAACTCCTTTGTCAGTATCTTAAACTGAATACAAAATATATGGATGGAGATTCCCATTCCCGAGATGGGCCCCTCATTAAATATTTAACATTTACATCAAACTTTTTTGAAGAGTTATACTGGATAACCATCTCTATCCAATGGGATTGGCTTCTATTTTCAGTGGAAGGAAAGCAGGAGTATTCTAAACCCAGTTTTATTTTATATTTGGAACACTAATTAATTAGTATTTGCCTGCCATGTGTTTTTTCCTCTATACTTGCCAAAACTAGACACATTTCATGGAAGTGAAGTAACTGGAATGAAGTACTGAAATTAACCTTAATTCCTTGAAAATAAAACCATTGCATTATCTCATTCTACAACATGGACCTATAATAAAGGTGAAGGGGCTAGCTCATTGTTTCAAGAAAAGTATTTACAGCGACTGAAAGAATATATTGATCTCATAACTATTATTACATGGCACCAACTTATCAAGTATATTCCTAGGTGAAGCAGAAAGTTGGAGGGATCTAAATAGTTCTTTCTTGACTTATACCAGAGGATAAAAACAGATTAATGTGTTTCTTATCAACACGGATTGCTTTCACTTTTGTGCCTTTGATCTAAGGTATTTTGAATGCATAGGGACAGCCCCATATTCATGCAAACGAACAAAAATTGCAACTTCTGGGAAACAGAGATAGGTTATTGTGATCTAAACAAACTGATGATAGTTCCACTCCCAAGTATAAAGGTAAAATGAAGTAAAAGGACAGAAAACACCAGTTTTGGACATCTGTTTCTGACATGTTTGCATCTTCATTTACCTGAAAAGTTCCAAATTTCTATCACTAATGCAATCACTGGCATGCACAAGGGTAACAGACTGTCTTGAGTCTAAACTATTTATAATAATCTAAGATTTTAAGGTTTAAAAGTAGAGAATGGTACTGAGAAGTAGGGTAATAGTATAGACCTGACTCTGTAGAGAAGTCAAAGATGATGATACCGGTTCTCTATCAAGTGAGAATTTCACTGTCAAAAACATATGCTAGTGAAGAAGTGAGAGATTTGACTTTTTTTTTTAAACAAACTTAGTTTTTGGAATTAAAAATATAGGCAGTTTGATTTTATTTTTTTCAGACAAAACTTGCAGTCAGAAGATGTTTTAGACTCATAAATTTTATACACAGATAATTAATTCCAAGATATCTGCTGTCACTTGAGAATTGTATATGAATTCACATTTCTATTTTTCTTGCTGACTATACATTACATCAGGGCTGTCCAACTGGCAGCCCAAGGGGTTAATCTGCAGCCCCTAGGCTCCCCCTGCCTGCTACTCCCTTCATTGCTATGGCTGCTGCTGAAGCTGGGGTCTCCAGGCTCCCCCCACCCTTCTCTGGCTTTCACTTCCTGTCCCCACCTCAGGGGGCATTCATGGCCTGCAGTGCTGGGGGAGCCCACTGTGTGGTACAGGGAAGAAGCCTACAGCTGAGGAGGTAAAGGGTGTAACTGCCCATGCATGCACATGGTGCAGCAGTAAAGCCTATGGCTGGGGAGAGGAGGGAAGGCTATGCGTGGAGCTCATGACATGGTACAGCAGAGGGCCCCATGGCTACAGAGAGGTATGGGTGGGCTGTGGCCCCTGGCCATTGAGAAGTTGGACAGCCCTGCATTACATAACCAAACACAGCATGGCTAATATGTATACCTAGGCACAACTCTGCTTAACAGTTTTTAAAGTGTAACAGTAATTGAGAATACGTCTGAAATGCGCACGCTGGTTTCAGCTTAAAATTAAGTGAAAACAACATTCTGATGAATATATATACAGCTCATCAAAATTACTGAAAATATGAACCTGACTTCGCTCTGAATTTTTTTTTGAATGCAAATAATATGCTTGAAATTCCTTACCAGGTTTTTCAGCAGCGTTGATAATTCCTTAGTAAGCGTCGAAAATTTTACAAAAGCAGTGCCAAGATCTGGGTTATCCCGACTTAAAAAATTACTTCCAAATTTATCTAGTACTTGTGCATAGTTCTCTTCATTTTGAACATGATCTGAAAAAAAAAAAAAAATTCAAAATTAACATTTTTTTCCTTCTTGGATCAATTTTAAATATTTTTATTATAACACAGCAACAGAATTGATCTCATGAACTGATAAATCAGGTGAGTTCTGTCAAGGAAAGCTAAAATATTTAATAAACTTTCAATTTAAAAAAAATCAAAATTAAAAAGAGCCATTAAAAATAGATTTCATAGACATTAGGGCTGGAAGGGACCTCGGAAGATCGAGTCCAGCCCCCAAATAGCCAGAAGTTATTTTTTTCTGAAATCCTCTGAAGCTAGAGTCACATATGAATGAATTTAAAAAGTTAAGAAAACCATGAAAAAGTACCAACAAGAAAAATTAGGGTACATTTGTTCATTTTGCAAATTATGTTTATACACACCTTTGTATAATGCACTGGAAGGTGCGGAGTTAAATAATCACACAGATGGTGTCTATTGGTACCACCTAGGGAAGTCTTAGCATGCATATAGTGAAGTCAAAAGTATTAAATATATTAGGGGGAAAGTTTCAGTCTCTAGAATAAGCAAGAAGAAAAAACTCCCTCAAAAATCCTGAAAACAAAAAACTTACTTTCTCTGTGGAGCTAAAGTTACCACAACATTAAAATAATATATATTAGTTCTCACTGAGATTTATTATATTTTATAGTTTTAAACACAAACTGCACATCAGGGATGTCAAGGTGTTAGGAAAGTTTGCTGTGACCATGTTCTAACCATGTCTGACCATGTTCCAATATCAGAACCAAACTATGAAACTAATCTACAGATAAAGACAACTAAGAAAACTGAAAAACCCTTAAGAGGAAAGAGTTTCTGAATGAAAGAAAAGTGAATCTATATATTTTTCTGGTAAGGTACTATTCACCCCTTCATGTTCTAGTAAGTCCCTTTTGCATCCCCTGTTTTAGTACTACAGGACAGAAACACTGCCAATGTCATTCTCTTCAGGATGTTGGCCTTCTAACGTCAGCCCTAGCAAACTAACACTTCCGCACCAACCCTGCTTCCAAACGCCCACAAGTAATAACAATGAGAAGGTTTACATGGAAACAGATGTGTGCAAAACAGTTGGCTGAAGGGGCAGAGATAGATACATGATCTGTGGTGTACAGTAAGACTTCACAAAGGAATGCTCTAGTGCAGAGGTTGGCAACTTATGGCCCATGGGCTGGATCTGGCCCAGAATAGCAGGGAAAGGGAGGGAGGAAAATAGCAAAACACAGCTCAGTCTAGTAAATCTTCTCTTTCTACCCCAATTCCACCCTCCAACACTGACGCAGCCCCCTCTCTCAACTCCTACAGCATACACTGCTCACCACTGCCACCAAGTGTGATCATGCCCACTGCTGCTGGGGACAGGAGTTGGCGGCACATGGTGAAGCCCGTGGCACGTGGTGAAGGCAGCACCAGGTGGCCTGTGTGCTGTGGAGGGGGGTGGCAGCAAGTTAATAGTTAGCATTCGCCTAGCTTCTCCATTAATTTAAAAACAAAAGGTTTTATGCTGGATAGTAGCTCACGAGTATGGATATAGTCAGGATGAGTTTCCTCAGTGTTTATTAAGACGAACACATTTTTTAAAAGGAAGGCAATATCGCTATACCAAACGAAGACCTGGCTAGTCATAAGCGACAGAAGATGCTCATAACATGGATTCACAAAATAGGAGGTCAGAAACTCACCCGTTTCAGGTGGAGACTCCATCCAACATTTCCTAACAAGACAGGTTTCTGAACCATGGAAAGCCAATTTATTGTGGTTTAAAAAAAATGCAAAGACTGAGCCTGTGCATCTCGTATTCCCTTCCAATTATGTTAATATGCCCACATTGGCTATTGTGGTAATAGTTCATATATCACTTAATCAGTCATGGTCAACTTTAGAAGGCTCCTCAGGCTAGCATGGCTAAAGCATATAGTTTCATAGTTTCATAGTTTTAGGGTCGGAAGGGACCAAATAGATCTTCTAGCCCGACCCCCCGCCAGGGCGGGAGAACAACAAAAGAACCCTAAAAACAAAAAACGGGACTCAAATGAGTCCAGCCAGGTAGGTATCCAGCCTCTTCTTAAAGATCCCCAGGGTAGGGGCCAGCACCACCTCCCTTGGAAGTTGGTTCCAGCTCCTAGCCGCCCTAACTGTGAAGTAGTTTTTTCGGATGTCCAATCTGTACCTCCTCTCCATCAACTTGTGCCCATTACTCCTTGTTATGCCAGCGGGGGTTAGGGGAAACAGCGTCTCCCCCCAACCCTTAACCTATACCAGCTTCCATAGTCAGTAGCTTCAAGGGAGTGGTATGAATGTTGTTTGTACTCTTTTTCTGCATAACTTTAATAAATCCTAAACAAGGCAGTAGGAAAATCTCTTCCCTCCCTTTCCCCCCACAAACAGAATTAGTTCCACCTAGCAAAAGAAAAAAGGGCTATAAATGCCAGGAGCTATGTTTTCTCCAGGCAGTCGTACAAGTAGCATTCTCCTCAAACTGTAATTTTGTCTGACAGCACTGGAATACAGAAAGTAAAAAAGCATTTTGATTTAAGATAAAAAGCTGAAAGTCTTTGGATGCTGAAAGACGCTATTTTTTTTGTTGGCTTCTGTGCTCGACTCAAAGCAATGAATTTCACCACAGCATGTGCACAATATCTCATGATCCATGAATCAGCTTCAAAAAAAACCCAAAAAAACCTGGCAGAAAGCTGCAAAAGAATTATTCTTCCAAACCTTTACAAAAATCCCAAGTCCAAAGCTCCACTGAAATCTTAAGGGGGAAGTAGAGGGTGGACTCTTTTCTAGACTCAGATCATAACTGTTCATGCTATCCAAATGCATTTTGGAAACACTATTTTTACACTTCTCATTTAAAATGAACGCCCTGTGGTCATACTTACTGCACACACAAACACAAGCTTTTCAGGAACCCAGATTTTCAGTCATATGAGGTTATGGATCAGTGAGTGGTAAAATATGTTTTTAATAAGACCAGAATTGTTCCAAAGGCATATGCTTTTAATCACATATCCTGACACAAAACAAGCCACCACTCAACAATAAAATGAATATTTTGTTTTGATATAAAAGCTGTTCTGTAAATATGCACATGAGACTTCAGCTGGGGAGCTCTGGCCTGCTTTAACCTGGGTAAATGAAGCACAAATGTGGTCTGCGGGGTTTTGAGGAAAATGAATAAGGGAAGCATAGAAGTTAGAAATCAAAAATGCCAGCAAATCATGCAGTCTCTCTCCCTGCTTCTGCAGAAATGCTCTCGACAGAATATTTCTAATTCTTTGCCCAGTTTTCTAGATAAAATGGGATGATAACTCTCATTATGATGAGAGAATAACGGGCATAGAGTAGGGGTGTCAAAAAATCAGCCCACAAGAGAATCTCTACCTGGTCCACTGGGCTACTGGAAGTCGAGGGGATGTGGCCTATTGCAGGGGCCCCGGGCTGGATCTGGACAGTGGAGCTTGGCACCCTGTCACAGCTGCTCCGGAACCCTTGTCGTGCCCCCAGACCCAAGCTGCTGCCAGATCCCTGTCCCTGGACTCCCAGTGCCCGCAAGCCCCATAGCCCAGGGCCCGGGGCAAATCTGATATCCCTGGCATAGAGCACTGGGTCAGACTATGCCTCTGACAGTCAAAAAGGAATATTTTTCCCTGTTCAGTCAAAAAGCTAGGGGTGGGAAGGAAAGATGCTCATTGTTCCAGAATGACTCCACAGAGCTTTCTAATATCCGATACAGGAAAACACACACCTGCATGACAAAATGTTTAGCTGCAAAACAAAGCAAGGTACTATTATGAGAGGTAAGCACACTATACAGATAACATCCCACTAGGGCAGGGGTGGGCAAAATAATCAGGCCCATGGCGGGTCCTTCGGTCCCACCTGGCTCAGGTGCCAACCGGCCTGTGGCATGCCCCACCACCCTGAGCCCACAACGGGGCTGAGGCAGTTCCATGGCTGGACTACATTTCTAGGCAGCCCAGGTGGCAGTGGCTCCTTCCAGCTTCTGCCACCAGTGGCTGCTGATGCTGGCCCCAGCCCCATGGTACTGGTTGGGACCCACATGCACAGCCCTAGCCCACCATGCACCCGCTCTGGACCCACCCCAACTAAAGCAGACTGACTCTGGACCAGCCAGGACCCACGCACACAGCCCTGACCCTTGCCCACCTTGCACTCATTCCAGACTGCCCGCCAGTGAGTGGCAGCAGCTGCTTTGGCGGCCAGGGAGAAGCTGCTGCTGGATGCGGGGGAAAATCAGCTGCCTCATTTCTGTTGCCTGGGAATCCTTGCTGCAGCTGCCTGTAGCACATGCTTGGGCTGCCCTGTGGCTCCTCTCTGCTGCTATCACTGCCACCTCCGGGCCACCAGTGGGATTAGTGGCAGTGGACAGGAACCACAGGACAGCCTGGGCGTGGGCACTGGGTAGCTGCAGTAAGAAGGGTCCAGCAGTGATGAGGGGCAGGCGGCCGCTTTTCCCACATGCCCAGCAGCAGCTTCTGCCTGGCTGCACCACTGCTGCTGCTGCTCAGAGTGGGCGGGCTGATCCAGAGCAGGTGTGGGGAGGGCCAGGATTGGAGCTATGTGTGCAGGTTTGAGCTGGTCCGCTGTGGCCAGGGCGAGTCCAGAGCAGGCACAGGATGGGTCGAGGTTGGGGCTAGGGCCAGAGCTTCGCACTCAGCTACTGCTGGGTGCTGGTGGTAGCAGCAGGGAGGAGCTGCAGGGTGCGCAGACTCTGGGCTTTTGTGCGGGGGAGGGAAAGGTGGGATGCTGACTGGCCCGTGACAGTTCCCCAGAACTGCCTATGTGGCCTGTGGGTTTAAATAATTGGCTGCCCCTGCACTATGATATGTTTATAAGTAGAGCTGTGCAAAGTTTCAGTAGCCAGTTTGATTCAGAGGAGATTCAGCCCCCAAACTGAATCGGGAGACCCATTAAAAAGGTCTGAATCGAATTGGAAGCCTCCGAATCAATTCGGAGAG